CTGGCAGGGATGTGGAGAGATTGGGACTCTCATACACTGCTGGTGGGACTGTGAAGTGATACAACCATGTGGAAAGCAGTATGACAATTCCTTAGAAACCTGGAATTGGAGATACCATTTGAACGAGTAATCCCATTACTAGGTATAAATCCTAGAAAAGTGAGAGCCATGACAGGAACAGATATATGCACACCCATGTTTATTGCAGCACTATATACAATAGCAAAAAGATGGAAACAACCTACATGCCCATCAATGGAAGAGTGGATGACCATACTATGGTACATACACACAACGGAATGCTAGGGAGCACTAAAGAATAATGTAGAGTCTGCAAAACACCGCATAACATGGATGACCTTGGAGAGCACTATGCTGAGTGAAATAAGTCAATCACAGAAGGACAAATATAGTATTTGTTGTAGTGGGGGGTCAAGGAAAGGTTTATATATGGAGGGGAACTTTGTTTCTTGGTTGCCAGGGGTGGGAGAGATGGGGAGGGAGCACTGCAAAATAATAATAATAACAATAATAATAAAATGCATTGACCCACGTCACTTTAGTTTTATGCATTTCACTGTTCATAAATTAAATTTCAATAAAATGCATCGAAAAGAAAAGAAGAAGAAGAAGAAGAAAATGCAATAAGTAAATAAATAAAAATAAAAGATTACAGCCTTGGAAAGCTTATGGGGCAATTCTACTCTGTCCTATAGGGTCACTATGGGTCAGAATTGACTCAATGGCAATGGGATTTTCAGGAGAGCAAAGAACCAAAAAAGACAAGTGAGATAGGATACTATATTGATTGACAAAATATGCTTTTAGAAAATTGTAGACCTGGATTTGATTCTTGTCCTTGTTTCCATCACTCACAGTCACTGAACGTTGTACTTCAGTTTTCTTATTTATTAAACAGGGATAATAACGATAATACTCCATAGACCACCCATCTGTTCCACTACCTGTTAGTTTGTCATACTGTGGTGGCATGTTTGTTGTTGTGATGCTAGAAGATATGCCACAGTATCTCAAATACCAGCAGGGTAACCCAGGTTGGACAGTTTTCATCAGTTTCCAGACTAAGACAGGAAGAAAGGCCTGATGATCTACTTCTGAAAATTAATCAATGAAATAATTAAATGAAATCAATAATTTAATCAATTAATCAATCATAATCAACCTTATGAGTTACACTAGCACATTGTCCAAATTTTTTGCTCTGGACATGTCAATTGTTGAAGGAGGACATAATGTTTGGTGAAGAAGAAGGCCAGCGAGGGTGAGGAAGACCCCTGGTTAGATGGACTGGCAAAATAGCCACAGGGATGGATTCAAACATCTCAGTGATCATGAGGGTGATGCAGGATCAGGTACCATGTTGTTCTGTTAGCCATGGTCACCATGAGTGGGAGTCGATTCTATAGCAGCTATCTATCTACCCACCCCTCTGGGGATGAGTATTTCTAGCAGGAGGAACAGCCAATGTGAAGTTCTGAGAGGGAAGCCAGAACTGTTCAAGGACCAGCCAATACTCATGTGGTGGAGGAGAGCAAGTAAGGTAGATGAGGTCGGAGATATAAGGGGGTGGAGCAGATCTTGTAGGGTCTTTGTCGTACATTGTGAAGACTTTGGAGTTTGGTGATTAATTTGGGAAGGTCTTGGTGTGGTAATTAAGGTTGTGTGTTAACTTGGCTGTGCCTGTTTTTGAGTAGCTGGGCAGTTGGATATAGTTATTCCCCATGATGAGGTTGGTAATCAACTCCATTGTGGAATCTGCTGTGAGCCCTGATGTAGCTGCCTTTGGGGTATGACCTGCTTCCAGTATATAACAAGCTTTGAGCAAGGTCTCTAGCTTTT